CAGCCAGGCTGCACATTCTTTCACACGATCTTCTTGTCAATAAATATAATACTGTTGCAAAACAATTTGTATTGTTTAAATCAAATGACTCATTTTATTTTAGATCGATTGAATAACTGAGTTCGCATGGATCAGATGTTAGCAATTCCCATTCGTTTTTTTTTGCAATATAATGTTCTTGTATAGTAGAATTCCAAGTTATTGTTAGCTATGTGGTATAATTGTTGCCGCCTAAAGGCAGCTTAGTTCATTGATATTTTGAAATAAACCTATCTTGAAGAATAATATCTACTTGGACTAAGAGATGTAGTAGTATAGTTGGCCCTGTAATTCCAGAAGAACAGAGAAACTATACGTAGTTAATATTTCTCTGAAAAGGAATCAAAGTGTATTTACTTTTTACAAAAATAAAATCGCCATTTCTGACTTCCGTTAATTTGTAGAGAGTCAAAACAATGATATTTTATTAAATAATGCTTCCGTCGGCTCGTACGGCTCGTCTTTTAACACTTTTGTTACGAATTTCAAGTTGGTTGAAGGTTGAAGGGAAAGGAATATTAAAAAATTTCAATAGGCAAGAATTAGCACAGTCCACGTGTCAAGTTTGGTTTTGAGTTGTAAGCTAATTAAAAAGGTGTATATGGGGGACATGCTGTGCTCATTCTTCTTAATACAAGTATATTCTAATATACAATTGGCATTCGGTGAAAATCTTTAACCAGTATGTGAACCTATAGCTTGTGGTCACCCATTCGCGCTTCTGTTTTCAGTACACATTACAAAAGTTACTTATTTTAAATTAATGAAAAATAGATGAACTATATTAAGATACGCATTATTGCTTATATTTATTACTTGTCTTTAATACTTTTCTTTTATTTAATATTACAATTTGTATTTCTTAGCCCTTTTCTGGCTAAATGTTGCCTCTGGATAGTCAGTAACAGTAACAACTATACATATGTACATTCGCAGGCGTCTGCATCTGAATGTCTGACTGCGTGTGTGTGTATGAGTGTCATAAAACTGTCAACTTGTATTTCATATGGCTCATCGGTGCAAGAAAGGGGGGAGGAGGGCAGGGAGCAAGGCAGCAATGGCACTGGCATTGGCTGCACAGCATGTCAGGCAGCCGTGGACCTTTACAACCGGCGACAGAGGACAGACGACAGACGTTTCTTTACAGTTTTCACTAATTATGTGACACGCTGCTGGGCTGCACTTGCTGAGGTCAGCACAGTAGGACGACACAACGGCAGGACAGCAGACTGAGGCAGAGGTAATGGCAACCAGCTCTTTTTGCAACGAGCTGCAGTTGCGGCCAAGGACTCATTTGAATGTGTTGCTTTTGTTGTATAGTCTCATACACACACGCTGAAACACACACACACACACATACACACAAGCACAAACTTTCCGTTCATATCTCAGAACTCTAATTTCAAAGGTCGTGCCAAGCGCAAAAACAGTTTTCTGTATTCTTTTTGTTGTTGTTTCTCATGTTGTCATTGCCCAGCTCTCATTTCGGTGTCATGTGTTTTAAGTTTTACATGTTTGTTTTCCTTTTGTTTTGCTGTTTTGTTGTTGTTCGTGTTGTTCTTGTTACTCTTTCGCTCCACGTAAGTCTGTGTCTGTGTTGCATTTTTGTTTTTCTTGCTTTTTGGGCAGTAAAAATGTGTGAAGGTCGCTAACAAATAGGCGTCAATAATTGAATACCCAGCTGAGAGCAACAACAACACAAAACAACAGATGCAAAGTTGATTAAATTTAAGCAGTTGTTGAGGCGTATAACCTTGTTTTTGGTCTTAAAAAATTTACCATTCACATTCCCTATTCAGTTTTGATTTGCGCAGTTAATGGAGCTACGAAATTATTTACAAATATTTATGTGTAGTTCGTATATCGCTATGCTCCTCGTTATTATGCTGCGCTAACAGTTCGTGGCGTAAACTCATAATTTTCTAATACAATATTAAGTATACGCCATGAGGGAGCCTACTGTGCAGATGCTTTATACACGTATGTATGTATTTATGTATGTATGTATGTCAAGCAAGCTCTGTTATTAAATTGATAATGGCTGGAGCTAATTAAGCATTAAGCATTTGTGACTGCAACCCGCAACTTTCAAAACATGCAAATAGTATTTATTTGCTGACTTACATATGTATATGTATATGTATATGTATATGTATATGTATATGTATATGTATATGTATATGTATATGTATGTATGTATCTACCAAATCTATAACTTTCATGTAAATTTGATTGTGAACTGTCTGGACAAAAGTTGTGCTAACGTACGGCCAGCATGCGGGAATTGCACGCACGCACACACACACAAATAAAGGCATCATTAGATAGCAGCACTGTTGTGCAACAGTTTGTTAACAGAGCTTTAACAGCATATCAGTTGTTAACAGTACAGAGCGAAGAGAGCATTTAAATAGAGACGCACTCTCGCGTTTCTGCACAACTGTTGAGCGTGTCGCCGCAATAACCATCACCATTACCGCCATTGCAGGATACTGCAGAGAAAGGCAACAACAGCTGTTGTAGCTTTTAACTGTTATTTACATTTGCGGCTAGCAAGACGTTGGCAGAGTGGCAGCGTGGCAGCATGGCAGCCTACCAGCCTGGCAGCCAGCAACAGTTATAATTTTTGCTGGTTTCTCTTTATGTCCTCGAATGATTTATTTTTGGCCTGCCACTGGCGGCCATGGCGGGTGCTCCCGAGTTAAGGCATGTGGTTTTTGTTTGGATTTATGCGTGTGTGAGAGACTGTGCATGTGTGTAGTTTGTTTGCATGCGTGGGCTGTTAGATATTGTGTTTTGAACAGACAACCAGATACAATTCTAAGGCAACATTCGCAGTGTAGAAAAGCACCAGCTGTACATATATATATATACATATGTATGTATGAATGCATATACATATTTATATATGTATGTCTGTTAAGTATATGTTTGGGCTTTGCTTTAATTTATTCAAGAAAATGGCTTCAACTTTTTCTATTATACCAAGCCACCAATGTAAAATGTAAAATAGGTGGCCATATCGTTTAATTAAGGGCTGCCGCATGGCATTTATTCGCACGCGTTCATGTCCATGAACTGTAACCGTAATTCAAGAAAATAATTGTAACCAGTAACTGCCAGTTGGCGCGCGGTTTTCGAAGAACTCTCGTTCGTTTTGGTGGGTACACTGTCGTCTGCAGCATGTTTTGCATTTAATCTTTTTTTTTGCATTTTTTGTTGTGGCCCTTTTGTGTTGTAGGCTTCGATGCAGGCGGCATTTGCATGCATATGACAAGCGCGCCACCATGTTCCCTATTCAACATATCATGTGCAGCTTATACTTATACTTAGACGAGTATAATATACACGTACATACATAATATATAATCACACACACATATGCCTTTCATATGCTGGCAACATGTCGACGGCAATGACTGCGGAAATGAAAACAATATCCATTTCCATTGTATGCTTTTGTGCGATAGCACAACAACAGTAGGAGCAACACCAACGCCAACAGCAACAATAAAGAGCAACAAAAAACTGCAGGCAGCAGAAAGCGCAATGGCCGTGGGGAGAACTGTCGTTGGCACACGCCCAATGGGCCAGAACAGAGCGCAGAGCATCCAGACAGCAGAGCAACAGTGGCTCCCACGCCACCTGCACTAGTCAATAGCGCGTGTGTGTGTGTGTGTGTGTGTGTGTGTGTGTCTGTGTGCTCGCAGGACGTAACAGTGCAACAAGTAGAGAACTGCACTCTTGCTCATGCTCCCGTCATAAATTATGTGAGCACACAAGAACTGGCAGAACGAGCCAAACTATTGGGCAACTCCCCGTCTTTGTGTGCGCACGGCGATGGCATTGAAGGAAGCCATTGGCATGGGGCTGTTGAACCCGCGATCCACAATTGGTTAACCTTATTTGCAAAATATTGCTGTCGTGGGTAAAACGTCAGCTGCCACCAATAAAAAAGTAAGCCGGATTGGTTGAAGGAGTTATAAATGTTGGAAATATTGTTGCATACTTATATACTCAGAAATTGCCTAATTTTAATGAGCATCTGCTTCTTTTCCCATTCAGTTTGTTTCGCTCGTCGCTTTGTTAAGTAATCCCACCAATAATTTATTCAAGACTTGGCAAGCAAAAAAAAAAAATGTTTTCTATTATAAAAAAAATTTGTGGTGCATACTGGTGGCACCAAAACACAATTACTGGTAGCTTAGAACCTAAGTGAAATTCACCAACTGTTATGATATTTTTTTTTCCTTATGAAAAAAAGTCATATCTGTCGACTCAAAAAAATATAAAAATTAAAAAATGGTAGATTTAACCAAAAAATTACCAAGTCATTAAAGGAAGATGGATAGAGTAATTGATTGATTCACCGATTTTTTCTTGGTATTGATTTGATGAAATTTAAATAGAGATGGAACTATTACAGAGTTGAAAGGAATCCAATCGTCCCTTCTTGATTGAATCTACAATATGTTTCACAAATTCCTGGCTGAAACCTTTAGTTGATTTACTGATTTACTGCTATATGTCCAAGCTTTATTAAATCAAACACATAAGCATTCAGTAATAGTAAGCCAAACTCTAACTCTGCTCTTATATTAAGCAAAAGACTTTGAACTAATTATTTCTCTAGAAGCTATATAAACTAATGCGTATGTATGGTTAGAGTTCTAGATAGTAAAACCCGTTATATTGTGATTTAATTGAAATACCCTAGATTACATAAATAAATAATTTTAAGCGTTGCCGTTTTGTTGAAGATGTTTGAAGTTTTAGGTTAACATTTCCAAAACAGCTGAAGATGTAAATCTTCTAAAGAACTGGCAAGCATATTTTCTTTTATCCTTTGATTAAAAATTAATCAATTTGCAATTAATCGTTCTAAGCGTTCGTTGGTCTACATTCGAGCTGTGGCATAAATGTTTTCTTTATTATTCTTATTGCAGGCAAGCCATTTAGCCATAAACGACACTTTTGGCTGTGAAAAGCCACAACAAGCAGCGTGCAATATTAAAGAAAAATAACAAATAAAAAAAGATAAAAAAAATGCTGCACTGAGAGAGCTCTGAAAGAGATTCAAATTGGCGCAGAAAAACTAGAACAAGTGCCGGAACATCTCGCAATAGCTGGTAGGAAAGAAAAAAAAATAGAAACAAGGGAAAAAACTGCGCCAATCAAGTGGCACAAAATCGATGATGATGCCGCCGCCATTGCTGGGCTTAGCGGCATTCTGGATGTTGTCGTTGTTGTTGTTTTTGTCATCAGCATACGCATTCAAAAATGTCGAAGCGTAAAAAAGTCAAAAGGAGCAGAAATCGATCAACGTGTCAACGGCAACACTGGAACGTGACAACGAGGACAACGAGGACGACAACGCCAACGACGACAAGAAGCAGAGACTCTGAAAAAAAGGCAACTAAAGGAGGTGCATGAAGAGCCCTTGGCCAGACTTCGAGTGTTTCTTCAAAGGATAATGCAAATAGTTGTAAACAAGAGGCAACACTTTGAGCAGCAAGCATCGCACACGAAACGCACCCAACATGGCGGATGCGGAGCTCAACGATAGCGATGGTGGAGGAGCGGCTGCAGGTAGCACTGGAGCTGCAGCTGGAGTGGGAGCTGAGGGAAGCACGCCTGAGCGCAGTCATGAGGCGAGCCGAGAATCGGCCGAATCCTTACAACTGCTGACCAAACTAGACAAGGCTGTGTCCACAAACGACATACTGCTGGACCTGCAGCGAGCTTTGACCTACGATGCTGTCTTCACCACGCTCATCGAGAATAAGATGCAGGTGCTGAAGCGGGAATACGAGGAGCACAAGCGATCCAAACGGAAGAAACGAAAGTCCATAGGACGTATTTTTCTGCCCCGCAAATTTTTTGGCTCCCGCAAGCCCGGCGGAAGCGGAATTGGAAACGGAGCTGAAGCAGCCAGCTCGGACAAGGACACGTTCTACCACGCGGCGATGGAGACGCCAGAGCCGTTGACAAGTGCCAGCCAAAGTCAACGCGACGCAAAGACTGCCCAGGGACTGCCACGCTGCGATGACATCGAAGTAGCTTCCGGTTCGATAGCCAGCCAGCTCTCGCAGAGAATCAAAACAAATGCGAGGACGGTGCTGCCTCAAACGCCGGTGGCGGCCAACGCTGATGACAGCGTGGCCAGCACACTAAGTAATTCGTCAGGTCGCAATGATCAGACCTCGCATGCCAGACATAGCCTGCTGGTCCGCGCCCAGACACACATGCCAGCTGAGCTGGTGAGCACGTCGGACGAGTCCAAGGAACTGACAATGGCTCCCTCTGAAATGCGAAATTCCACGGCGGCGACAAATGGCGAGCTGCCAGCCTCTTCCTATGACAATACCTCGTTGGGCAGTGGAGCGGACAACGGAACCGCTACGGTTATCACAAGAGGCTTGCACACTTCCACCATGGCCGATGACAGTCTGACCTCTCTGCGTGGTAGCATTGAGAGTCTATCCTACTCCAGCTCCCGGTGCACGGTCAGCTTCGGCGGCACCGAAGTTATTCCCGACGATGCCGACTCGATGGTCGTCGAGCGCGAACGTGCACACCTCGCCAGGCGTCTGCGCATACTGGAAGCGAAGTCCATTAGTGCACAGTGCAGCCCCATCTTTCCCAGGCATGTGGCGCGATCGCTGCCACCACCCATGCCACAACAGGCGGTAAGTAATGAACGCATTGCATCTTTTCTGTCGGCCCTTGCAATTTAAATTAACATTCCGCATTTCACTAGCGACCAACAAACCTCTTCTTAAAAATTATTGAGAAACCTTTTAAGACTCGAACATGTTTCATTAGGTACATTAAAATACGTTCAGGAGGAATGCCATCCACAAAGTGTCTAATATTATCTTAGTAGCGAAAATTATATAATTATAATTTCAACAACAACAGCCTCATCAGCAACAAATTGCCATGAAAAAACTTGCATCGAGTCTGCTATAGTTCACCGATTTCTTTTTATATCCTGTAATAAAATGTACGTAGGAGAATTAGAGTATTTATGTCGTTTAATAAAAATTGTTATGATTTTTGATTCTTTAGTCTTAGATCGGAATTATAACTCCATATTTGTAAAACCGATTTCTTAAGATGTCTTCTTTAACTTAAGAAAAAATAGTATCGTATTTTTACCTGCATTTTTTTTTCGATGAGAAAACTATTCATATTTCACTCCACAAAACTGAGAAGTCTTATCAAATGTTCTTGTTAAAAAATCCATTTAAAAACTTTCTCCACTTAATAACACTGACAACCTATGGTATACCAGCAATTGACGCAAAATTGTTTGAAACTTGCAGCTTGCTGCAGAAACTTTGTTTCGTTGAATTCGAGAACGTGACCAAGGACTATCATTTATAATTTTTACCCACAACTTTTAAGAACAATTCTCTCAAGCATACTTTAACAACTCTCATTAGCAACTCGGTGTCCATAGCGAAATAAATTTAAAAACTTTATCACGAATTTATTGCTGAAATACACCAGCAAGTGTGACCGAAAAAGCTGACGAAGCTGAACTTCCATTATAAGTAGTCCTTAACTGCAAACTATAATATATTTGTGTTCGCTCTGCAGCGCCTGCACGTTGTCAATGTTCCATCCAGTCTGGCGAAGGCTCATGTGGCACTCGACATCGAGCCACTGCCTGCGCCGGAGACAGCCTTGCCCACAGCTGCCGCAACTGCCACAGCTCCCGAGGTGTTGCTGCTGCCTCAACGTAAGCGCCTGCTGCCAAAACAAATCTCCTGCACGGACAGTGGTGTCGACTTCGACGCTGCGGCTGCCTACTCCCGATATTTCTCGCGACAAAACACATCCGAGGACAGCGCCAACGTAACGGTGAGCACAGTCCTGGCCCAGAGCGATTCGCAGTCTCTGCATGCACCACCCAGCTATGCAAACACGCCTTCGCCCACAGCAGCCCAAGGGGTGCTGGGTGGCAGCGATCGCATCAAGTCAAAGAGCACTGGCCTGCTCCCAGCTCCTGAGCTGGTACCTCCCCAAGTTAGGGCTGCAACAATCAATACTGCAACAACGACAAAGGCGACGCAAGCTTCGGTTATTATTCCTATAGAGGACGAGCCAGTAGCGCTCCCCACAACGCAGCTAAGCAAATTGAATCGAATGACCTCCACCTCAACGGGCTCGAGTGTTGCCGCCACTGGATGCTGCACTGCAGCCAAGTCCGTCACTTCGCGCGTCAAGGAGAGGCATGGCACGAAGCCATCAGTGCCTTCGATGGCAGCACAGAGTGCGGGCAGCGATGATGATTATCGGAGACGTAAGCGTAAGTACAGTAAGTGTCGTCAACCTTATGAGTTCAATTGAAATGGTTAAGGCAAGGGCGTAGGCAGCTTTTACCAAAGGGGGGGCCAACAAAATTAACATTTTGATTAAATAATAACGATGCATTTAAAAAATAATTTATGCATATGATCAATTAAAAAACTTCAACAAATGCAACTCGGTATGGAACAATATTTTATTTTTGTCCCCCCCCTGGCTACGCCCTGGGGTTAAGGAATGGCATATTCAATTGGTTGGTAATCCAATCATTATCAGGCAGTGGGAAGGCACAATGTAAAAATAACTAGTCCATCTTACTTCCAATTAGACAATTCCACGGGCTTTAAACATACTCGGCTCTCTTTCCAAAGACCATTCAACAGATAACCACATTGTTTTTGTTTTTATAAATCCCTCTTTGCAAGTTTTTTAAAATGATTAACAATATTTGAATTTGAACCAAAGCGAACCAAATATCGGAAAGAAAGCATTTCTGCAAAATTAATTATTAATTATTCGCAATTTTACAACTTACAAGTATGTATACAATGGTACTTAGAGGGAATATATTAATTTAACTCCATTATAAAATTATTATTTAATATTTGTTCTGTTATTAGCAGTAACAAAGATATAATAAGGTTTGTAATCAATATCAATATATAATTAATTTGAAATAAATCAGGTGTTGTTCTGTAATGGTTTCCTTAATGTGGCTGCAATCAAATCGTTTAATCTTGTTTATCGGACATTCAGATTTGCCAAATCAGTTTTTAATGTGTCGAGATTGATGAAATTTATTTTCAAAATGAGCATTCAATAAAGAATGTAAACAATTGAGCCGCTAAGATGCAGTTGTCCAGACACCCTTGGTGCAACCATTTGCCCAAATAAAAGCCTAATTTTTTTTATTTGTTCGCATGTGTTTTATTTCAACACTTGTATAGTAGAAATGGAATTGAATAAGAACTGATATATCGTTGTTAAAAGCGTAAGTATAGAGTGTATTCCTCGAAGTAATGACCTGTTCTTGGTTCGAACAAGCTGCAGTTCCTCAATTAGTATTCAATATCTTCGGGATGGCTCAGCTACCTGCTGATAAGCTAGTCTTCCTTACCCCTTCTATTGATTATGATTGTTTCGCTCTTCTTTAATGAACATTTCGGTTCAGAAAAAGTAATAACCTTTTTTCTAAGCTAGTGACTGGAAATAGCGAATGAACTAACGATTTCGATTTTACTCGTCAATACTTTGCTTTGTTGTTGCTCTTTTCATTGTCTACTCTATTATTATTATTTTTCAGAGCGTTATCATCGCTGCTCGGATCCTGCGGTCGTCTATCCTATGCCCAATGCTTTGCAGCACTATGTGCTCGGCATGACGCCCGATGAGCCCGTGTATGTATCGCACATTAGCACCACGTCATAACAATCGCCCACTAATCTAATTTATTATTAGCAGACAGTGTCCCTATGTCGACGATTCGCAATACGACTTGCAACTGGACATGGACGCTGATAAAATCGACGACCTCGAGCATATAGTCCCCAGTGGTCATCAGCGACATCGTCGCAAGCATCGGTGAGTCAGTCCGTCGGTCAATCAAAATGACAGCTGGGCACATTGAGAAATGAATGAAATGGCCAGAGCGCCTTTCGATTAGACATCATATAAATGGTTGGGGGCATGTAAGGCATAGGCACGGGGATGGGCATGGGCAGGGGCATGGGCATGAGCGTGCTGATATAAATGCAGTGCTTTGTGTTGCAACAAAAGCTGACGACCTTGAGCTGCAGTAATAAATGTTTTGCTGCAAAAGCGTTTTGACTACCTGACGTTTCATTGCCAAATATTCGCCCTAATTCGTTCCCCAGAGTTCACAATTCGGCCGAGTCTGGCTCGGCTGGCACGAGTAGACAGGAATTGATTGACAAGCTCTGAGTGAAGAGCTCCAGCCGTGGGTGCGGGGAAGCGGCAGCTTTGAAGCTAATGTCACCGTACCGGACCATTTAGCGACTGCTCCATCCCCAATGATGATGCCACTGATGTTGCTGTTGTTTTTTTTTTCCCGGCAAACACTTCCGCTGCATGGCATGGCACGCCATGGTATATTATTCGAAGAGTTTCGTCATGGGAGCGGGTGCTGCTGGAAATTGCGGCAGCTTTATATGTCGGAAGTTGTGCAAAGCCAAAACGGAAATAGAGCAAATGTGTTTAAGCTGCTGTCATCGTGTGCGGCAAGGCTGGTACGGTTAGGCCTAATCTTTAATGCGGCAATGGAAAAACGAAACATGCCGCTTCGACAACGGTTCCTGAGACCGCAGATTATCGCAGACTCAAACTAAAGCAAGGCATAGGGCGGAAACTTTAGGCACTACAGCTCTGAAATGTATGCGTTAAGTTTTGTCATGTTTCTGCCAAAGTTGACAGCTTCCTTAAAATGTAAACAGCCAATGTTTTGTGTTCTCTATAGTAGTGTTGTTATTTTGCAATACTGTGATGTTTATGCGAATATGAATTATCAATTTAAGAATTCATTCAATTACTACTATACACCTATCTACAAATTTAAACCATCAGAAGGAACTCTTAATTTGTATTAGTTAGTTAAATGAAAATTATATAAAAGCGCTTCTTTTATAATCGAGAAATAACAACTAGCTAACAACTGCAAATAAAAAGATTATTGTTTTGCTTATTTTGTGGATCAGTTACCCAAATGCTCCACTGAACATTCTTTAATTCAACTCCAATCAGCTTTATTTACGTGGAAAGCACACATCTAAGCAAATAATTTGCTGGTCTCACCTCTGACGAGCAATAAAAACAAATTTTCTTAAAATAATCAAAATAACTTAAAAAGTAAAAACACCAATGGGAGTTTTTAAGATAATGTTTTAAGGATATTAATATAAAATTATTCTTTACCTGTGCTAAATAATTATATTGAAGCTATTGTAAATTATATTATAGATGTTATTATAATTGTTAATTGACTCTTTTTTCGCAGGCATCGCCACAAAAAGCGCCATCGTCATAAAAAACCCAAAATATTAGTACAGGATTTGGACACCCAAGTAGTCAAGGTATAGTACAAACAAATACGTTTCCAGATATAACAGTGAAAAACCGCGAACCTACTCCGGAAATATGATATAGTAGTCTACTTTCTATATGAAATAAGTAGTAATAACAGTACGATTTTTAGAAATGATTTATTTGCAGGAATATGAAGCCTAAGTATTTGTTTTTAGCATAATATACGCTAAAGCTAAGACCTAGTTTTGCATAAATAATTTCGATGGACCAATCAATATCGATTACCTATACCCATAACCTCCCCGTGAATGGTACAAATATCAGATCCAGAGCAACTTAGTCTGCCCAAGAGTAAGAGCCCTGTAACATTTCTTTACAAGCAAACATTATTCGGCACTCAGGCGAACGTTTTAGAGATCTTTCGAAATATTTTGAAAAGTTATATAATCCTTCGTGATAAAATAGACTAAAAGAACATGATATTTGTGAACGCGACAAAAGGATCTTTTTTGTGGCTGCTTTTTTTGTTTCCTGTCAACGAATGAGTTTTGATAAAATAGACTAAAAGAACATGATTTTTGTGAACGCGACAAAAGGATCTTTTTTGTGGCTGCTTTTTTTTGTTTTCTGTCAACGAATGAGTTTTAAAAATAGTATTTGTTTATTTCATAGGTCATTGATCCGCACGATCTGTCGAAACGTGCACGCTGGACCATCATAGCCACTGCCTGTCTGCTGTTGCTCATGTGCCTAATGCTGGTGGGCGTGACGTTGCGCATGGCGCCCATAATTGACGATATGGGTGAGTGCTTTTTGACATTATTAGAGCCCCCAAAATTTGAACAAGCAAAAAAATATATAATAATATGATATGGGCTTGAATTTAAAACCCTTTAAATAACCCCCAGTCATAAAATCAGACAACTTTAATGGAACAGACTAGTTGTAAAAGGCGCGCTCGAAATAAATGAATACAAACATTTCGATAATATCCCACTGTTGTGATTTTTGTAGAAACATACTCGTAAATAATAAACAAAAACATACTAAATAGTATATGTTAGTAAGGCATTTGACAAGAATTGGACAAAACTACACACACACACACACACAAACCAATACGCAACTTAAATATGGTTATGATGATACAAATATCTAATGCCACGTGAATTGTATTTTTTTTTCGTTATATTTCAAATTTAGAATTGCTAACGAAATGTAAGTACAAAGACGCCAAAAAGCAAAACAAAACTAAGAAAATTGTGGAAAGCCCCAAATGCAGTTATTTTGTAAATGCTTAATAGTTGCATATTATGTTGTCAAAGTTTTGTGATTTAGAAAGCTTTATTTATGGTTCAAATATTGCAGTTAAAACGGTTGTGGTTTGGCGCGCTGTTGCCATAAAAATATCCTTAAAGCAAACTTTATATTTTCAAAGGGCTTGTTTAGCAGAGCTTACGCATACTGTTAAAGTTTGAGCTTAAAGTTTTTGCTGTTATGTTACAAAGTTGTATCAAAGTTATGTGAGCTTTTAAAAAGCTTTTTGGTTCTATTACAGCTTGAGTGGAGGTATTTAAGAATGAAACGAAGCTTCGGCTCCTGGATTATTGTTGGTTCGCCGCCATTGAGTGAGTTCTACTATTTGAGTTTTTTACAATTTGTTTTTTGGGCTGGGACAAGCGGGCAAGGCTGTTTACTCACTCAATGTTTATGTGTGCCATTGTGTTGCATAACAGCGCACACTAATGGCCGCAGAACTAGGACAGCGAATCACATGTTGCATTCCTGCCGAGCACACACACCCACACCCACACAGACCCGCAAACATTTACTTGTACAGCATGCATGCAGTTCGATAATTTGGTTTGCTGAATTTATGCTGACAAAGGTGGCGCCAAAAATAAAAAAATAAAATAAAAGGACAAAAGCGCGATGTGAACTGTGACTAATTCGTTTTTTGGCTTAAACAAGCTTCAGCATGGAATATTGGTTGGCTTCATCAATCATGCATGCTTTTTCCCATCCCTCTTCATTACTTTATGTTGCATTTGCATTGTCACTCAAAGAGCCCAGCAGATCTGCAATATTAATTACTTGGTAACAACACAGCGTCGTCAGGTAAACTCAGCATTAGCAGACGCTGCAGCCATTATAGTCGTAACCTTGCAAAAGGCTGCGTCAACTGAGGCTCACACAATAGATGCAGAAATGGCAGCAGCAGGAGTTGCCGTTAGGAAACCATTGCATAAGTCAAGGTGCCGCACTTAATCGGTTAACTGAAGGGGAAACCCCAGTAGCCGACCACAATGGGGCGCACCATAGCGTGACAATGCCTGGTTAAAACTAATTTGTGTGTTAGCTTTTTGGGTTTCGCCAGCAGACACACGCACGAACGAACCTTCTCTGGCCAGAATGGTGGCCAAGGAGCGTCCAAAGAAGGCAGTGGCAGCGCCTGCTTTTTGTGGCATTGTATATGCGTTTGCATTGTGTAGAAAAGTAGAATGCAGTTATGCATTTCTTAAGCTAAATCAGCACCGGCAATGACAAAGCAAGCGCGCCCGCTCAGCACAATGGACCAAACGCTGGCGCCGCCATTTTTTGGAGCGGCGGAAGAACGCCCTGCATGGTTTGCCAGCCATCTGTATGTATGTGTGTGTGTTTGTGTATTTGTGTCTGCTTTTTGGAATGTTTATACGTGATTGTGTTATAGTGAGAGTCATAAATTTGTTTCAATTGTTGCGGTAATACTAGTGTAACAGTTGCGTTATAAATTAAATTATAGTGCTCTTTTACTTTCTTCATTATCCAATATTTCAGGCAATATTAAATATAATACATTAAATATTAATTGAAATCTGCACTTAAAAGATAAGCTTACTGTTATCCAAAAATAGACTACCATCCGGAGATATATCAGTGCTGACTTATATTTATGTTTCTGTTCGCTCTTTTCAACCACCAGGAACATTTTTCATCTGATTTATTACCAACAGCAATAGTATGCCACAGAAACATGACACTCAATAATATACGTTACAACTGCAAAAGCTTTAAAAATAGAACAGTTCTCAGAATTTAGATACAAATTTTTGCAGAATCCTGTTTCTGACATAATCATGGTCAAAATCAAGGTATTCAGTTTATCAATGCAAAGACAGCATTTAAAATGATTGCAAAACACTTTTTTTATTTAGGGAACGAAATGCAATTGAATTCAATGAGCATTTGTGTTATTAATGTACTAACAACGATTTAATTAACAGGCTCAAATTAATCTGACGCTTCTAATTAAAGCAATTACCGATTACTCTCGTTATTAAATCAAAAAGTTGTGTGACAATTGAATTAGATTTTGCAAAGAGTTTTAAAATATGCTTTATTTATGTTGTTTTGTGATTTATTGTGCTTATTGCTGTCTTGCACAAGTGAAGTTGATCAAATAACAATTAAAATTAAAGACATTAATTTGATTGATAAAATCAACTTCTAGACGGGCTAACTAAAGTATGAACTTCAACTTCAATATTTTGTTCGAGCTACGAGAGAATGGAGTAATTGCATTCACAATCATATTACAATTGAAATCATAGAAGCTTAAACTATTTATTTATCAATTGCTGTGCAGAATCAATAATCTTGTTATTGAGTATGCAATTCTCTTTCCATTTGTAAAAAGTAAGTCAAGGCTATTGCATTTCACACATTTCATTACAATTTTTAACATGTGACCTAACAAAAAAAATGCAATTATCATAAACCAATAAAGTTTATAGTAAACAAAATGTCTCGTTTTTAAGAAGCTGGATCAATTTTCAAATACATTTATACCAAAAGCTGTAAAACTTAGCTATCGAGAATCGATTGAATCCAATTTCGCGTTGTTATTTCTTTAGAAAAAATATGAGAAAATGTAATAGAAATAAACGTTGGAAATTACTTCAGAAACATTGGTATTAGGTTTATGAAAGCGTTGAACGATATTAAGAGAATGATAAAAATAGATCCGATGTCGGCTGAGAGGCAGGTGGTGTTATTGTATATGAACACGTTTTTGAGTGCCACTCTCGCAAGTTTTGTCAGTTTTTTCTAAAGTTATTTTATTTATTTGATCGCATCAAACGAACTAAGTTCTTAGAACTGAAAAGTATTTTTCGCTGTTCGTGCAGAATCTTCTCATATATCAATACTCGTTTGCAAGTCCTATTTCAATCAAAATTTCCGAGCTATCGCATAAACGGCGAACGTAATCTTAAGTATGCTTGTGTGTGTAGCCATGTATGGAGAGGTGTGGGGGGAAGGGTACTCCAAAATGCAAAGAACTCAGCTGCAAAATGCAGCACAGCTAGCAGCATGTTGAAAAGAAACCCGCTACGCTGATGAGGCGGTTAGCGCGGCTTGGCTTGTCAGAGTCGTCGTCGTCGTTGTCGTCGTTGTCGTCGTTGTCGTCGTGTCGTCCTGCCGTCCTGTCGTCCTGTTGTCGACGTCGTCGCTGCCGTCCTGTCCTGTCCTCGCTGTTGACTTTGCTGCTAGATGAAAAACTTTCTGCATGCGCACAATTTCCGCGCGTCGTATTTTCACTGGCCCGCGGCTTTTGAGTGCGTTGTCATTTTCGTTAGCTGCCTGACTAACAGTTGTTGTTGTTATTGTTGTTGTTGTCGCGGTTGCTCTTCTTGTTGTAGTTCCATTACTTGCTGCATAAAACAAATGCACATAGTTCCTTTGGTTATTATCCACTTCCACTTGCACGGCACTAGTAACTGCAACCAGATGCAGCAACTACAACTACTATAATAACAACAACAATTTGTTGTGCGCTTTTGGCATAGCATCTGGGCTCTAGCTTAATCAACACGCTCGTCATGCGGGCAGCAAGTCGCTGCTGTCGTCGCGCCCATTTGGGGCTGCTCCCGTCCACTACTACCACAAAAAGCATTCCGATTGCCCAGCAAGCCGCAAGTATTCCAGCAGCAAATTATTTTCATAGCTGTGGCTTAAAAGCTGAAATGCTGCTCTGACGACAACGAAAATGGCGGTGGCGCCCAAAAAAGCCAATCCCTAGCTCAAGCCCAAGCCCAGCGCCAGATACAGCTCGGGCTCCGGCTCCGGCTCCGAAGTGGGCCGTAGCCGTAGCACATGCCGTTGCTCAGCTTGTGCCAAAGCATTGCCATTGCCCCCGGGGCATTGCCGGAGTAACTTAAAAAGCCAGGCAAAGAATTAAAAATATTTACAGTATTTTGAGTGAGCGGAGCGTAAAAAAGAGCATGTAAAAACATTGGAATATGGCAATCTGCATGACTTGTGGAGGACGAAAAGGAATTTACTGCCACAATGACAATGCCAGAGCGAGAGCGAAAGAGCGAGAGAGTGCGTGACTGAGACACAGAGATAGAGAGAGAGAGAGAGAGAGATAGGACACTCTTTGTGTGTGAGCTGCGGCTAACGGCATTTGAAAATGACAAAACTCTGCCTGCAGAACAGCCAACGCGCAAAGCATTCCAAACAAATAGGATGAAACATAATTCAAACACACAGCCTCACGCACACACACACACACAGACACATACACACAGCAGACCAACAGTAGGGCGGTTAAGCACACAAACATGACCGGTCAAAGCAAATAGAAATGTCTACAAAGCTGCAACTTGTTTTTGGTTACACACAGGCACACACACACACACACACACACACACTTTTTCATTTAAGCAATTTACAGAACGCAAAAACAAATATCGACAGCTCCGACTCCCATTTCTGTCTTCCAGAAGCCGCGTCGTCAGCTATCGTTGCTGTTGAAGGATT